GGGTTGCATTACCAATCCAAAGGTTCAAATTCACCAGGTGCTCGGAAGGAGAAAGATGGGCAATCTTCTACAGTGTGATTTGCAGCCTCTGAAAACCCACTGGACTGTCAGCCAAGAGTCGTCTGCAACTCAACCATACATAACAAACAACAAAATAACCAAGCAAGTTGCCATGAATCCAATTTACGGAGGCCCCGTATGTTTCACAGTAAAACTGCTCACTGTAAGGTTTTTATGGCTTTGACCTTCCAGACCAGGCACATAGTATTTTATTTTAAATAGAAACATGCAGAAAAATATGATAGGACTAATAGTCTCAAGTGTATGTGTAAGACCAGAAGCAAAACATCAGTGGCTAAAGTCAGCGTGGACAGAGAATTCAGTTCCTTTAAAGTTCAACGAGGAACTCCGGGCTGGGAAAGCTTGGGGATGACTGAGTCATTCCCAGGGACCGTACTACCAAGCCAAAAGTAGTTGGTCCAAATCCACCAGTTGCTGGGGGGTGGGGGTGGGGGGTGGGAAGGATCCTGTGTGATTATAGACTCTGAAAAACCTCTGGAGACCAGCTATGAGTTGGTTCCTACTCAACAGCACACAGCAACTAAAACAACAGAAGAGAACAAGGCCACCAGTTAGAAAGCAGTAATTCACTATCAGTGGAAAATGAACCTACTGTAGTAAGTGACCAAAGTCATTGCTGTCAAGTCTGAATTGGCTCACAGCTGATTCTCCAGCAGGTTTCTGAAGCTGTAAACTGCACAAGAGATAACCTATCTTTCTCCTATAGAGCCATGGGTAGATTCAAAGAACCAGAGAGGCAAAGCCACGGAGTTAGCAAGGCAGCTCTCTACAGCCTAAGCCATTAAAGGCCCCTCCAGCAAGTTGCAGAGTCAGATATTGCTACAGTTCTTTTCCATCAAACAGATACACAAAGTGGCCCAGAAGAAGACCCACTATCTGAGAGCTAAGGAAGGAATAAAAGAAAAGCTGGTGGCACAGTGTGCTACATGCTGAAAAGTTGCCTGTTTGAATCCATCAGGCACTTCTCAAGAGAAAAATGACTAATCTTGTGTAAATATTAACAGCTTTAGACTCTCGACAGAGGATCACTATGAGCTGGAATCGACTTCACAGCAATAAGGGGCAAGAAAGGAATACCACAATTTATATACACTGCCTGGAACTCCTTTAAAATAGATTTCTGGAAAAGTTTCAAGTTCCAAAAAGTTACTACAAATGTATGATTTCAACATATGATCTCAGGGTTAAATTTACTGTATATTTGCAGTTTCAAAAGATTTTATTTTTTAAAACAATAAGAAAAAGAAGATGATCTTTAACAAAGTTTTAGGAAATTCCAAAATTCAAATAATGGAGAAAATTGTCCTCCCTTCTATCTGGACCTCTGTCATTCGGGTGGAAAAACGTCCATCCGAGTGAAGATCCTATATCTGCCAAGTTCAAAGGCAGTCTCTAGGAAGGGAATGCCATTACAATGTTCATTCTGTTGCTCATAACTGACCAAAAGAAGAGAAAGGAAATCCATGCCCACTATGTCCAATATGTGGAAGAAAAGAATAACTGATGACTTTTAAATGTCCTATTACTTGAAGGATGAATGTGAAAGAGTTTTCGTCAGCATCAATACTGTTATCACTAATGTAAATCAAAGCTTGTGAATCTGGCCACTATTCACGTTGGGGCCGGAGAAGTCTTTGTTGAAGGAGATAGCTTGTGCACTGCGGGCTATTCGGCAGCATATGGGGTGATTGTGCAGTTCATAGGGAGTTTTGCTGCTAACTCTCTCTAGCGGTTCAAATCCACTCATAATCTCTCAGAGGAAGAAAGATAGGCAAGCTCTCTTATGCAACTTATAGCCTCCGAAAGCCTGCTGGAGGACCAGCTATGAGTTGCTTCTCCTTAGCAATGAGTGGTTGAGTTTTGGCGTGTACATTGTCGATGCCAGTAGCACTTTCTCCACTTCTGACATCTAAAAATGTCTCCAGACATGATCAAATGTCACTTGGGCAGCAAAATCATCCCTTTTTGAGAACCATAGACATAAATGAACCTATGTCTTCCAACAAATGTCTTCCAAAACTACATAATAAATAATTGGGATGAAGAATTCTAGTTATCCTATTTTGATGGGCATGTACTTATAAAATGAAAACTTTACATCTTCTCTTCTTCAAGGAACTCTTATGCAAGGGGATGCTAGCACTTGAAAACCTCTTTTCTTTACAGTTTCCAGATTAGTCATCTTGGTGACACAGCAGTTAAGCACTGGGCTGCTAACCAAAAGGTCAATGGTTCAAATCCACCAGTGCCCCAAGGGAGAAAGAGGTGACAGCCTGGGCAGTCTGTGTCCATAAAAAGATTATGCTTGGGTGAAGGAAATGTTAAGATCTTTTGTGAAAAACAAGATATCCAAACTCTGTAAATAAATCAGTATCATTTAAGAAAAAGGAAAAAAAAGATTGTGCTTGGAAATCCCTTTGGGGTAGGCAGTTTTACCCTGCCCTATGGAGTTGCTAATGTGTTTGTTATAAATGTTGTTATACTACTACCATAGCTTCCCAGGGGACAATTTATTGAGCATCTACTCTGTGCCAGGCACCCTGTTAGGGACATCCTGTACTCATGCCCACTGACTCACTCTGGTTGGACTGGTTGGGCTGTTTTTAGGACATGCCTTGTCACCATAAAAGAGATGCCCACACCTTGAACATGCTCAAGAAAGTCAGCATACCCTTGTTCATCAAGGAAACCCACAGTCACAATGAGATTTCTTAACTCTTGCTCCTTTGAAGTAACTCTATACATTTCCAGGCAACATTTAAGAGTTACAAAACGTAAAAAAAAAAAAAAAAAATAAAAAAAGTCAGAGGCTTTTTGCTATATTTGGCATAGAAAGGCCATCACTTTTCATACTCAGGGGTTTTTGCCTGCAGGATCATTACTGGAACCGCTAAAAACACTTATGGACAATCTCCTTAACTGTCTGACCCACGCGCCCTCCTAACACAATTTGTAACTTTATAATCCTCATAAATTGAAACTCCTAACTGACCTTTCCCAAACAAATGTGTGCCAGGGAGAAGAGAGAGCTATCTGAGAGTTATTTTGTTTGGCAATAAGGAGGTAAGGCTCGGAAATCGATTTAAGCTCATTAAGAGATGCCTGGAACATGTTTGGTTTCTCGGGTCCCTCCCCTCCCAACAAAGCCCGAAGCCAGGAGGGAGAATGGGTGTGTTTGAATGGCATACACACATTCACACATACACACTCACACACACTCACTCACACAACCAGGAAGGGAAAACTTGCAGGTCCAAAATTCAAAATGGCTAAGAGGGACTTCGAAGCTTTCCCGATGCAGCCTTGAAAGACAGGATTGGCGGCTGCACCCCTAAGTAAATAAAGCCATAACTTGTCTCCCTCTGCAGCGCGGGGCTCCCTGGGCTGACAGTGGCTGCACAAAACCCCTCCTGTGTGGAGCAGCGGAAACTCCTAATGAGATTAGTTGGTGTGTGTGCAGACATTACTTAGCTATGACTAAAGGGGCTCTCTTCCTGCAGCAGCCAGTGGAAAATTCAAGGAACTTTTTCCCCCTGCAGGAGAAGCAGCCGAGTCCC